AGCAGGGGCTGGGCAGTTCGCCCCGGGGCGGGGGCTCGCTCAGGGGCAGCGGTGTCGTGGTCGGGGAGCGTGGCCGGGGCTGCAGAGGCTCCGTGCATTCCTGCGTCCGTCAAGCACGGCTCTGTTTGAATGGGGTCGGGGTTTAAGGGCCTCGTTTTAAAAGGGGCTCGGGAATCTTCTTGGGTGCTGTGCTCTTTCTTCTCCTATTTACTTATTTGGTGCTTTCTCAGACTTGACCTCGGTCCTCGGTTTATCCCAAACACCCTCGGGGACCCGCATTTGCTCCTGTTGGCGTCGTAGGAAAGCGCCTGCCTGCCAGGGAGGATTTGTTCAACCCCAGGAGGCCGGTGTGCTGCCTCAACCAAAGTTCACCAGCAGGCCGCTTGTCCTTGACGGAAATAACAAACCTAAAAGGAGGGAGGCACAGAGATGCCTTCTGGATTTGATCCTGCAGACAAAATGAGTTGGTAAGCCTCTTAGCTGGCTGGTTTCTCCCCGGCGGGTTCGTGCGGCTGCCGGCAGCCCTGGGGCCGCAGGAAGCGGGCTGTGCCCCCATCACGTGCGTGTCGCGGCCTCCCCACCCGCGTCCCCGCTGGGAGCACCGCCGGCTGCGCCCTCGACCCCGGCAGTAAGCCCGGTCCCTCCCAGAGGACCCCGTCTCAAATCCCGGCCGCTCCTCGAGGACACAGATCCCCCCCTGCCCAGGCAAGTGGGAAACCACACCTGCTCTCTCCTTCCTCCCACCTCACGACACGGGCTTTGTTCGCAGGTCGTCCGAAGGGAGGGAGAAACAAGAGGCTCCGCCTGAGCCGTGCCGTTCACTCAAGTCCGGTCTTGTTTTCTCCCGCCATCTCTGTCTAAGTCATTCAGCCCCCTGTCGCAGCTCTGGAGGTTTCTAGCCGCCCTCCGACTTGGGTCTTTTTTCACTTAGAGTTGGGTTATAGTTTCAGGCTGAACCACGAGACCCCCACAACGCTGAGCGCGGCGGACCATCCGTGAGTGGCCGCGCACGGAGCCAGCCTCCGGCGAGGGGGCCGCGGCGGAGGGCCGGCCGCACCGAGCCCTCTACACGCACACGGCATGGCCCGCGCTCAGCAAACGGGGACGCAGACCAACGATGACGCAGCAAACCGCAGAGACGAGCCGAGGACCGGGCAGGCGACCGGCTCCAGGGGCAGGTCGGGTTAATTTTTCACCAGCAGCCCCTGGGAGACCTGGGCGCGACGCGCAACGCCTGGCTGTCCGTCTTCTCAGCGGCCAAAGCAGGGTAACAACACTCTCTAACCCCCGTCCAAAACACTTCGAAGATCTGAAAACCAAGGTGTTGTTATTCTAAAACATGGAGACACACTTCTTCAAATGTATGCGGCACGGTATCTCCTGCTACGTCCTTTTGCACCCCGTTCTCTCGGGTTCTGCTGCTGGAAGTGGCCAGGCCGGGAGCGCCGTGGTTTTAGGGGAGCTTTGGTTGCAGGACTGAAAGCATTAAGTTTTCAGTGAGGGGGTTACACCAGGGCCCCTGGGGAGGGACGGGGAGAAGTTTCCAGAAGGGGTGGCCCAGGCAGCCACTGAGCCGCTTTCTCCTCTGTAGCTTCCCTTCCCCACCACGTCCCGTACAGAGGCAGCCCCCCCCCCCCCGGGTGCGGGTGCTTGTGCCTGGCTCCCCTCGGGGAGCACTGGGCGGGGCGGGGGAGGGGGCCACTGCTGCTTCCCAGCAGCTCCACCCTCGGTATTGCTGACGGCACTTGGCTGTGTAACTGTAGCACAGTTCTTTAAAATTGATCCAGCTACTTGATAGACATATGGATTGTTTCCAGTTTGGGTTTTATGAATGATTCTGCTATACACATTCATGGGCTCTTTTATTCTTTTTTTTTTTTTAAGATTTATTTATTTATTTATTTTTAGCAAGAGGGAGGGAAAACACACCGATGCGTGTTTGCCTGTTCCACACCCCCAACCGAGGACCTGGCCAGCAGCCCAGGCCTGTGCCCAGACCGGGGATCGAGCCCATGACCTTTCAGTTCGCAGCCTGCGCTCGACCCACTGAGCCGTGCCAGCCAGGGCCCGGCGCCTTGTCTTTAACGTGTGTTTTCATTTCTCTTGAGTAGATTCCAAGGGATGCAGTTTCTGGGTTACACACCAAGGGTACGTTGAACTTATTAAGAAATAACCAGACTGTTTTCCCAAAGGGGGGTTAACTGAACAGACATAAACTTTTGGGGTGATGGAAACATTCTAAAATAGTCTAAACGTGGATTGTGGTGATTATTGAACAACTGTATAAACCTACTAAAATTGTATACTAATGTGTGAATGTTGTCATTATGTAAATTATACCTCAATAAAGTTAAAAATAAGTTAATAAAGTTAAAACACTGGCCAGAAATGTGAATATTAAGACATTATCAGGATTCTCTTACAAGTGATGATATTGTGGTTGTGTTTTTTTAAGAAAAGCCTCTTTAGAGACACACACTGACTTATAGGAAATGAGGTAACGCCTGAGATGTGCTTCAAAGGAACCCCAGGGCTTTGGGTGGCTTGCTGGTGAAATAAGATTGACCATAAATGAGTCATTGTTCCAGCTGGGTGATGGGGCCGTGGGGGGTTATTTGTTCATTCTGTCTTCTTTTGTATATGTTTTCAATCTTTCCATAATGTAAAGTTTGTTTAAAAATGAACTTCAGTCTTTTTGAAAAAGCTGAATTGGCGGAGTCCGCCGCCGGCCTGACGAAACCTGGTTGGAATGAGACCGTGGACATCTATTGTTTCTGCCGGCTCAGGCCCCCTCCCCCTCCCACTAACAGCAACCAGACTTCGCTTTGAGCCTCGGCCAGGCCTCTGCAGCCGTCTTCCCGGGCTGCCCACCTTGGGCCCGGGGCTGGGCAGAGCCCCCGCTAAGCCACCCGCCGCTCTCTCCTGGGGACCCCAGCCTCGCTGAGGTTGGTGCCAGGAGAGGAAAGCCGGGGCTGATAAACCTGGGGCGGGGGGGGCGGGGAGGGGGGCGTCCTGAGCCACCGTGGGAGGGTTTTCTGCTGGATCAGCCCTCTCTGAAACCTGGCTCTGGGCTGTCTTGGGTTCTGTGAGCGTCCTACCATCATGCCAAGACATTCCTTCTTTGTTTAAGTTGGCCAGAGTGGGTTTCCGCAGCCAAAAAACAAAGTGCCCTGGGGCAGGGACAGCGCAGCCGGCGGATGGACTGTGAGCTCTGCCTCTGGCCGATTCCGCCACTCCCGCAGGCAGCCTTGGACTGGAAACCTACGCGAGGCTGAAAGAGGGAGGGATGCGCGTGATTCGGACCCCAGACTGGCAGCCAGGAGCCCCCAAACGTGAAGTGTCACAGTGGAGACAGAACCATCTGCCGAGACAGAGAAAGCTCCATCGGCACTCCCGAACAGCGCCGACCGACAGAGCCGCACGTGTGGTTTTACATTTTCCAGTAGCTGTATTGAGGCAGGAAAAAGAAATCAGTGAAATTAATCTTAGTAATACACCTTGTTTAACCGAAGAGATCCAAAATGTTATCATTTCAAGCTGCAGCCAATATGAAAACTATTAATGAGATTTGCTTCTCTTTAAGTCTTTCAAGTCCAGGGTACTGAGTATTTTACACTTACATCCCATCTCAGTTCGGACCAGCATGATAGCCACACGTAGCCACTGGCCACCACGTCGGAAACACAGGGGCTCAGACCTGTCCCCAGGCATTTCCACGGGGGCCCGCCTGGGTCACGAAGGCTTCGAGTGGCCACCGTTGTGCCCAGCGGCACCCCAGGGCTCCCAGGGGGCTCCTGCCCAGGGCACATCATCAGCGCCTCCTGGGCCATGGGTGGCCTTTGTCTGCAGGGGGCACCCCACACTGCAGTGACACCACTGACCGGGCACCCGGCGGGCCTGGCCCCAGCCGCCACGTGGGGGACGGGCAACTTGGCGCGACCCGTTCTGTTGTTAGGCACCTCACAAAATGCGTTACTTGCCTCCAACACATTGCCTCGAATGTATCGATATGTTCACCCGAGGCGACTGGGTTAAGAGCAGTTTTAGCGCCAGGTGGAAAGTGGGCAAGCACAGAGGCTTCCCGCCCCCCACCTGTCACTCTCCCCGCACACTCCCGCGGCGCCCCGCAGCAGGGCCTCCCAGGACTTGTGACCGTGCTGATTTGATCACCCGTAGTCTCTGCCCTTCACTCATGACTGCGTCTCCCCCCTGGATTCTAAGCTCCACCACGGAAGGTCCATGTCCTCACCCTCAATGATTATTCAAGGATGCAAATGTGGGAACGCTGCCACCTTTTGGGGGGGTCGACACCTGGCTGAATCAGGAATGCGTGACCACCACACTAAGTGCTACTGGGACCTGAGCGTGCCCGGCTTGGCCAGGTCGTCATTGCGGCTGAGATCCCTCCCCGCACCTGCCTCCGGGACGGGTTCGAAGCGCAGGCCTGTCTGGTTTGTTTACCCTGGTGTCCAGCTCTGCTCCCGGGATATTTGATGGGGCCGTTGGTTGAGTAAACGGATGATTCCACAAAGAAACACAGGGCCCCAGGGGTTGCAAGCACCTTCAGGCAAACTTCACTTACAGTACGGAAACCCTTCATTTGGGTGCGTAAGTGTGCTCATACTTTTGGGTTGGAGGATGGAGCAGTTCGGGCCCAGGAAACTGCTGATGTCATTTGTTCCAGAACCAAAACTTTCCAGTGTGACATTTCGGGGGTTCCCCGCTCCAGCCCACCTAGAGCGGAGGAAAGGGCAGCCCACCGCCGGGGCAGTGGGCGAGGGGCGCGCCCGGGGCAGGCGAGGCGGCCGGGACAGCCGGGGCCCCTTTCGGTCCCCCCGCGCCGCCCCCGCGAGCCGCAGCGGGAGGGCGGGGCGCGCGGCCGGCCGGCTCCGCGCCCGCGTGGCGCGATCCAGCCCGGGATTCCGCGCCCGCCCGGGTCCCGCGGAGCCCCGCCCCCTGTCGCCGCGCCGCCGCCGGAGGCCGCTCGGAGCTGCGCGAACATGGCCGAAGTCGGCGAGGACAGCGGGGCCCGCGCCCTGCTGGCGCTGCGCTCGGCGCCCTGCAGCCCAGTGCTGTGCGCCGCCGCCGCCGCCGCCGCCTTCCCCGCCGCCGCGGCCCCCGCCGCCCCGGCGGCGCCCGGGCCCGCCACCCCGTCGCCGCCGCCGCCCGCCCAGCCCCCGCCGCCGCCGCCGCCGCCGCCGGGCGCGATCGCGGGGGGCGCGGGGGACGCGGGCCCGGCGGGCGAGGCCGCGGTGGCCGCGGCAGCCGACTCGGTGCGCCGGAGCCCCGGGCCCGCGCTGGCGCGCCTGGAGGGCCGCGAGTTCGAGTTCCTCATGCGGCAGCCCAGCGTCACCATCGGCCGCAACTCGTCGCAGGGCTCGGTGGACCTGAGCATGGGCCTGTCGAGCTTCATCTCGCGGCGCCACCTGCAGCTCACCTTCCAGGAGCCGTACTTCTTCCTCCGCTGCCTCGGCAAGAACGGCGTCTTCGTGGACGGCGCCTTCCAGCGGCGCGGGGCGCCCGCCCTGCAGCTGCCCAAGCAGTGAGTGCGCGCCGACCCCCGACCCCCGACCCCCGCCCGGCCCCGCCGGGCAACGCCCACCACCCCGCCTGGCCCGGGATCTGGGGGCCCGATCTCGCCCGGCCCGGGCCGACGTGGACACGGGGTTACTTCTGACCCCGCCCGGTCTGGGCCCCCCGCCCCAGGGGTCACTCCTGGCCCCTGCCTGCAGGCTGCCCTTGTCCCCGCCGCGACCAGGACCCCGGGGTCGCCCCCGCACACGCTCGCGAGACGGGTTGCGTCAGGTGGTGCCGCTCGGAGAAGTGCGGGCTCCCCCGGAAGGCCCGAGCCCCCGGCAGGAGGGGCCGGGTCTGAAGCCGCGGCGACTTGGGCGGGGAGGGGACGTTCCGCTCCGAGGGAGGGCAGGGGACCGGGCCGAGGGTGCCCTCTGCTCGGTGTTCGTGGCGACACGGGTCGGAGGCCGGCGCGCCCGGGGTGGGCAGGGTCCCCGCACGCGGCGGGGGGCGCGGGCAGGAAGGGAAAACCGCAGGGTGTGGAGGCCGCGCGGGGCGCCGCCGGTGGCAGGGCCGTGACGCCGGGAGCTTTAGCAACATCCCTGCGCTCCTTCCGCTCTTCCCTCACTTTCCCCTCTTCCGGTTCCCACGCACGCACCCCCCCTCCCCCAAGATCCTTGGTTTCTCAAGATCATAAGAAAGCCCATTTAACTACGCATTTCCTCTTTAGGCACTTTCTTTTTCTATGTAGTAATTGCTTTTTAACTCCTCACTAATGTTTATATTTCTCCTGTGTGCCCCCTGTTCCGCAGTGTCTCTGGCTGTCTAATTACCCTTTTACAAGCTCCTCGTGGTCGGGGAGTTTTTGCCGGGGCAATTCCCAGGGCCCGGAGCTTGCTTCTATAAACTGCTCCTCTTCTGGGGTCTTGGCTTGTTTGGTTGTAAATATTGTATTGAATAACCTTCAAGTGCAACATCAACAATGACTCACTGCATTTTGCAAACGTGAAAGGTATGTATTTGGGGAAACCAGGACTTGATGAATAATTAAAGCCGTTCTACCTCATGGTTGTCATTACTCCGTCCTGCCTTTTCCGTAATAACCTTCACGCCTTCTCCATCCTGGGCCACGGCCTGCGCCCGGGAGCCGCCGCCCCTGCTGCGAGCAGGCTCAGGCGAGGGCTCCTTTCCCGCCCGCCCCGCGGGCCCCAGGGGCCGGTTGCTGCCAGGGCACTTGATGTGACTCAGGTCCTGGAGGTGCTGCTGCGGGAAGCCCGGCGTCAGAGCGCCCTGCCAGGCCCTGGGGCGCCCACCGGACCTGGGCCTCCCTGCATCGCGAATGCACCGCTGTTTTCTCTGACTCAAGGGGGAGACGTGTTCGCCGGAGGCATCTCCGGTCACCCGCCAGATAGGCCAGACCGCGTTTGTGGCCTGTGACGTGGCTTCGGTGTTTCTGGGCTTTGCAGGGTTATTCCCGCAGAGCCCGGCCTCTGAGCCAGGGGCAGGCCTGGCAGCGGAGGCGGTCCCGTGCCCCCCCCCCCATGCGGCGCTTTGCCCCCTGGGGCCCTTCTGCCCGTGGCTCTGCTTCGGGGCAGTGTCCCCGTGGGCAGAGGTGCAGAATGCACAAGGACAGCCCACGCGTGCGGAAGGAGGGACATCGTTCGGCGCACGTCCATGTGTGCCCTCCTAGAAAGGGCTGTTTGCTTCTGAAAACTGTCGCAACCTGTTGACAAGCCTGTAGACAGTTTGAGCATTTTATATTCTTCCAGAAACCGCAGACTCAGTGCTCACGAACGTAGTGTGGGCTGTTGTGAACTGCTTTCTAGAGTGAGGTCAAGGATCTTGGGCCGCTCACATGGAAACTGATCAAGATTTTAACGAATTCAGAGCAAGGACATTGGATGTGTACGTTTTTGTCGCTCTGAAATTGGCAGTTCATTGCGGACTTTCACGGAGTGTCAGTCATTGTTTCCCCTCCGGCTTCGGTACACAGTTTTGCCATTAATATTTGATGGAATGAATCTCTTTGCCACAGATTCAAAATCCTCATGGGGGCGGCGCCGCGCCAGCGCGGCCTGGACTCGGGGAGCTGCGGCGCGGTGGGCCGCGGTCGCAGGAGGCGGCTTCGTTGTTGGCGCGCCCTCCCCCGGCCCCGCGGCCCCGGTGTGAGGGCTTGGCCTGCTTTATCCGCGTCCCCACTCATCTTTCTCTCTGTCCCCAGTTATTTGGAAGCAAATCACAAATGCCCTATCACCCGGCCTGGAAATACTTCCATAAGAGATAAAGATTCTTTTTTTAAAACCTAACCACAATATCATTATCACACCTAAAAAATTAATAACAATTCTTACTATCAACAAACACCCAGTCAGCGCTTGGATTTCCCTCGCTGCCTCAGGAGGCTGTCGAGCGCGGTGGTTGGCGTCGGGCAGGCGGGCGCAGACGCTGGGCTTGGTGGGCGTGGTGGGGACATGAGGCGGTGGCCCCCGTCCCCCCGGCTTGTTCCTCGCCCGGGATCGCGGTCGTTGGTCCTCCAAGCTTCCCGCAGTCTCCTTTCGCAGACTGGATTCCCATCGTGTCTGTGGAGGGTGACATGTCCCCTGTCATTCCTGTCACTTGGTGGCTGGACCTAAAGGTTTGAAGAGACTCAGGTTTGATGTTTTTGCCAGAATCGCTCCCAGGCAGCGGGTGGCCCGTGCGTCTGTCGCGGCTCCAGGTCTTCCTCCCTGGCGCTGGGTCCCGGCCTCGCCCCGTCCGGGCGCTGGTTGTCGCCTGCACCGTCCCGGTCCTTCCTGGCCCCTCCTCAGCGGTGCTGACACGCTCTGCCCTCTGAGGGACGCGCTGGGGACGGCAGAGGTCACAGGTCACGGCTTCTGCACGTGTAACGTGGTAAAAAGTAATTAATTGTAACCACCAAAGCTTTTTACGACATAAATAATTGTTTCAGGCCCTCTAAAAGCACACAGAAAGCAGCTTCTCGTTGCTGTTTCAACGGGTCGCTCCAAGAATATCGAATTAGCCACTAGCCTTCATACAGGTGGTCATTAGACTGAAAGTGTTTTGAAATTAACTGGGAAGTGTCCTGGCCTTAGTGAAGACAGCAGGTACCAGCCAAATACTCACTACCCAGCGTCCTGGGGGACAGGACACTGCTCCTCCGGCTCCTGGTCCCTGGGCCTCCCCCGGGCCCCTATGGCGCCAACGCCACCGCGCTGGGCGGTGGGCCCGGGAGTGGGCCTGTGCGCTGAGCTGGGTTTGCGCTTGGACCAGAGAGGGGGCCAGATCCGCCTGCGTCCCCAGCCGGACCTGGAAGCCGGGCAGGGGAGACCCTGCTGGCTGTTGTCATGTGGAGAAAAGAGCTGTGATGAGGCAGGACAGTCCCCTGTGACGTGTGGCTATGCGTGCGGACGCCTGCAGAGCCAGGGGCGCACAGGCCGGGCCTGCGGGGCCTGGACAGGGCGGCACTGGGAGCGGGAGGGGGGCTGTGCTCAGCCGGCAGGGGCCGGGCTGGCCCGGGGCAGCGGGACCTGCTGCGGGGCGGGCGCACTGGGAGCCCCGAGGGAGGGCCGCCCAGGCCCGGAGACCCGCGCCCCCCACACGGCACAGGAGCCCCAGCTGCTGGGTCGAGCCCGAGCCCGAGACCGGGCACTCGCTGAAGAGCCGTCTTAGTCCGGTTTTCTTGCCAGTTAGCAGCTACTCTGTAGCGTGTGTATTTGCTCAAAGTTAGGCTGTCGTCTAGTTCCAAGCTTGCTTTAAAAAGGCTTTTGGGAGCCAGTCTATCGAACCGGGTAATAAAATAGGTGCCACCGTCTCCAGCACATGGCTCACCCGGAGAGTGCGGGGCTCCGCACCGGACAAGAACGTTCATGTCGCGTTTTAGAAATCAGTCTAGGAGAGGGACGTCGTCCGTCATGGAGTGTGGGTGCGACTGGATTTGTAGTTCGTTTCCGGAAGCCTCCCGTTGCTGAGGGGACAGGGGGACAGGTCAGGGCAGGGCCAGAAGGCCGGCGGGGAGAGTCCCCGGCCACGGGACGTGCAGGCATTTCTCCCACTGCGCGCCAGCCTTGGGAATGTGAGGGGAGAGACTCACCGAAGCAATGACACCTCCAATTGCAGCAACACCTCATTTCCATAATTACCCTACATTTAATGCATTTCATATTAAAATGAGAGGATTATATAAAACACTTCCACTCTGGTGTCCTGGAAATGGACCCCTGCATCGTGACTCACTGAGAGAACTTGCAGGTCATTTTCATTGCTACTCTCATTTTTCAGGAGTTTCTAGTTTCTGGTCAAGTGTTGCCAGGTGATTAAAAAGAAGAACAATGGGATGTGTGTGTGTGTGAACATACCTCCTGGATGCGTCAAAGGGACCGGCAGGCGGGCCGGGCGCTGTCCGGCCCGAGGCCATGGCAGCGTGTGTCCTGGCCGTCCCCTGGCCTCACGGGTCCCACCTCTAGACAACGGACCACGTGGGATTTCCTCGGACACGGGAGGCTGAGCCGGGGTGGGGTCTGCGTTGCTGAGATGTAACACACCCAGCATCCAGGCAGGAGCCGCCTGCGTGTGGCTTCTCTCCGAGGAGCAGCCTGAGGAGGTGACAGCTGAAGGCACGTTGGCCCTCAGCCATCTGTAATATTTTGTCCCCGAGCATTTCCTCAGAGGCAGCACCTCCCAGATGTGTGTGTGCTGGGACCTCGGGGGGCCGGGTGCCTGCGGGCACCGCACGCCTGCGCGTGTTCCGGCAGGTCGCACACCGCTGCGGCCGGGACCCCTCCGCTTTAGTTCATGTGGGGATCTGTCTGTCTCTCTCACCATGTTAGAAACTAACCTATTCAAAAACCGCCATTAGAACCCTATTCAAAAACGACATTTCGTGAAAAATAACTGTTTCCCAAAACAAAAGAAACATAGGAAGTGTTCGTTTTCTGTAAAAGATTTTAATGTCCGGCAGGCGCTCCGGCTTTTCCTTGGTGGGGCTATGTCGTTTCGGGTCCTCGGGCCGGGGAAGTCGGGCCTCAGGCC